GTATAGGAAGTAGCCTCAAAAACAATAGACTTGGTGGCTCAGCCCTCGCTCAGGTTCTGCGCCAGGTAACTGACATTATCCCTTTCTATCCCTTTGGATGCTTTAATATATTTTCAACTTTCTGCTACAGATTGGCAGCGAGCCAGCTGATATTGAAGACGTGCCATCATTGGCCCGCACATTTACAAAGATTCAAAAACTGATAATTGATGGGTTTATACTTTCGGGTAAGGGTTCGGGTTACATAGCGTTTTTGTAAAATGCTCATACGCTGACGTGTTGTTTTAGCGCATGATGTATCAGATGGCGGATTCATCGTAGCCCTTCTCGAGATGGCTTTTGCCGGAAATACTAGCATCCGAGCTGATATCAAATGTGATACAGGTCTTCGCACAAAATGAGAATGATTTTTGAACTTTAAAAAATGAAAGATTATGGAATACTGTTTCAGATCCCCTCACTTTTCTGTTCGCTGAAGAGGCAGGAGTGTTTCTAGAGGTAGAACACGAGCATTTAGCTGAAATCATGGAACAAATCGAAAATGATGCAAGCGTATTGGTTGTCGGTGAAGTTTATGCGATATATGGGCCAGACGCAAAGGTATTGTACATCTCTTTGTCTTGCTTGTCAGATCACCATCGTAGCTTTAAGAACTGTGTTTATAGACTTACAAGATTATGCCGCTGTAGGACTTGATTTACCGGTAGTTATGAAGTAAGCTTACCTGCAATCTGATTTTGTAAAGCATAACCAGACAGCCCAATTTATAAAGTGCCTCCCAAAACTATTTGACTCGACGTTTTTGTAGCCGTAACTGCTTAAATGTCCCATTTACGATGTTGTCTTTTTATCAGTGGCTCTCGGCCTTTGTAGAAATACAACATCGTAAACGGAATAGAATTTTCAGCTTTTGTAGTGAGACATTTCTAAGTTTGGAGTGAGTCTAACGCCAAAAATATTCACCTTTGCTTTTACTTGACTATTCATGCTCAAGCAACAGTTCACTCAATTGAATTCGAAGTAAAAATATTCTGCTAACAGATCTGAAGTTTATTTTAACTAGACGTACTGGAATATTTATGGATTCCCTGCATTTAAGAGGGCGAATGAAAGCAGATAAGGAACATGCGGGTTATTCGATAGTCTATCCTATATAGCAAGCTTAAAAAAATACCTTAAAACACAGCAAGAGCGGTTTATTTTCATACATTCCAGTTCCGGGCAAGAAATTGTTGATATTATGCCATTTTACCCTCGACACTGATCAAACCTATATCTTTTAGCTATGTGATTTAGCTACATCTGTTTCAGACAAACATTTTCTCATCAATCTATGATAGAAGTTGTACAACCTTTAATTAAAGTGAAATTGTTCAGTACCAAAACAAAGAGTTTTATAAAATTGGAAAAAGCGCTTTACATCACATTCGACAAATCTCGAGTTACGACTTCGCCTTCAAATGCTCCAGCACCTTTTCACTTGTGACAGTTGCAACCTTGAATTGCTTCTCTTGTGCACTTCTTCAATTTTCCTAGTTAAAATTCTATGTGGTAAAGAAATGGTGTGTAATATTTGAATGTGATGCGCTTGAAGAAGAATTTCAAAAAAAAAGATAAACAATTTTGGCAAAATAAAACCGAAACTTCAAGCTTTTTTACTCAAGAAGAGAAATCACTTCAAAATTCATACATTATATGATAGGGTAGGACAGATACTGCCTCATTTTTATGAATTATAAGTTCTCAAACTAGCAATTCATATCGAAATCACCTTACAACTTTCAAAGAGTGGCTAAACCGGACGAGTTAACAGATAGCATATTAAATCTAATTTTTTAGGTTGAAATCATTCTAAATGGAGAATACGTGATCAATGAGAGTCTTGTGTCACTTCGTGAAATTTGGGAGGAGACGTCAGATCGCCTAGGACTCATGCAAACAGATGCCACTTGCTTAGAAGAAGCCAAAGAGGTAATTAGGAGTTTTTTGACGCTACGATCATAAATAAGGAAAAGACAGCTTTACATTTAACTGCTAATGATGATAACAACTACTCTATAGAAGAAAGAAAGATGAAATTTGAGGACAACAAAA